CTACTCTCTCTCTCTCTCTCTCTCTCTCTCTCTCTCTACACACACACACACACACACACACACACACGTGCGCACGTGCACACCCACACACGCGCGCGCGAGTGCACACCCACGCACATACTTATTGGATTATTTGAGGTTAACTGTACATTTCATATGAGTTATCTGAAATGATATAAGCTTCCTTTGGACTCATGTTGCATTTGCCTGAATACACCTCATGGTATTCTTTTTTATTGTGTTTACCAGGTAGGAGCAAATGAAAATGGACAGTCATCCACAGGTGCTGCACTTGAAGGTATGTAAATGCCAACTGGAATTGGTATTCAGTAACTTGCACATGTTGGCCTTTCCATTAGGCAGCAAATGTGAGTTCTGGGTCACAACTTATGCTTTTCTATCTATGAGAAATATAAAATAGAATTTGTACTATACTTCTGTGGGAGCTGTTCACTACTATAGCGGTTGGAAGACCTATATTGGAGGATTTTTTCAATCTGAAATTATGGGAACCACCTAAGAATCGCTAGATAATTAATTTTTAAGGGAAAAAATATTGAATTTTGAGTTTTCTAACATTCACATTTTACTTTCTAGAAATTGGACGATCTCTTTCAATCTTGAAACATTATTTTTTCGAGTGCAATCAGGAATTCTTTTTTCATTGATGTTACTCTAAGGGTTGAAGATGTTACATCCCCAAAATTTGGGGTCCTGAAATTAATGCTAGATTGAGTTTACCCAATGGAGTAAATGGATGGTATACTCCAAGGAAAGGATAAAATCTTTTAGTTATAAAATAAACATTGCGTGCAGTTGTGTGTAGATCATGGTACTCTATTCTATATGCACCTTTGTCTGTGCATGGTCTTATTGAAGACCTTTTGTTTTGATAAGCCACAAAACATCTTTTAGGACTCTTTACTGTTATTTTTGTTTTCTTCAATGTGAGAATTCTGAAACTGGCTTAGGAGCTATGGTCTTCAGACTCTTTGCCCTTTTACCATGGAAAGTTACTTTGGAAGTGAATCTGCAGCTTTTCTCTGTGCGCTTTTAGTGAGATGTGATTCCCAATTATTTTAGGGTGTGGTTTTTAGTTGTTTGTGAATCGACATTAACTGTTAGTCAAGAAATAATGATTATGGCTTTTGGGCTTGTTTTCTTACTTTTATTGGGAAGCATTATATTTTCACCGTGATTAAGATTCCATTTAATTCCAGCTCTTCAACCCCAGAATCTCCTTCAGTACGATCATTAAATGTTTTCATGTGTTACTTGCATGGTGAGCAGAGAAAGAGATGCATATGACTGGAATTTATGACCTTGTTGCTGTGCTGACTCACAAGGGCAGGAGTGCTGATTCTGGTCATTATGTTGCTTGGGTAAAACAAGAAAGTGGTATGTACCTTCTTCCCTCTCTCTCTCTCTCTCTCTCTCTCTCTCTCTCTCTCTCTCTCTCTACGTCGTACGTCGTACGTCGTCGTCGTCGTACGTACGTACGTACGTAACGTAACGTAACGTAACGTAACGTACGTAACGTTACGTTA